GAAAATATAGTCTTGACTTTCACAATTCCTTTGATTTATGAAAATTTAATCGTGGATAAGCATTCACAAAAAAAAAAAAAAAAAAAAAAAAAAAAAAAAAAAATCATGGATAAAAGACCACAAATCAACTTAAGTTACTTATACTCGGTAGGTTGTAGGTTCAAACTAAAGATGTCAATAAACTGTTCATACAAAGAGTTAAATTTAAAACCTTATAACCGGGACATGTGTAGTACAATTCATCATATATTGCTGAAATGAATTCTCCAATTATCATATCATAAACCGTAATTTGTTATGAGGAAGTGCACAACATACTTTAATAATGGGTGTCATTGTGTTGTTTGTCAATTGTCACATGGATCTCTAAAAAGTACACAGTAAAGTATAGCTAAGAACTATTTCAAAAAAAATATATATATATATTATAGCTAATAAGAACTAACATTTCTTGGTTGTTTTACACTTTTACCTATCAACGTAACCTTAATTTAATGCAGCACATGCACGTACGGAGCTTATTGATTAATTTAGTTTAATTAGTTAACTAAGCACGGGTTGGGGTGATAATATTGGGTGGACTTGCCACGGAAGAAATCCGTTGCTTGCCGCGCTCCGACCGGCTGTTCTCTGCAAATTTGAGACTCCCATGGTGCAAACCTTTCGATTTCTCCTCCTCGTTCCACTCCGACCCGTAGTAATATTCCTCGCTGTAACTCTCGTTCTTGGACGCCGGAAAAAGCATGCTTCCCCACTGCGGGAAATGGATGAACGCGACAGGGAGCGTGCAGGCGACGGCCATGGCGCCCATCCACGTCAGCCCCGCAGCCGTGGAGAATTTCGAGCTGGAGAAGAACAGCAGCTGCGTTAACCCTCCGCCGAAGTTGCCTCCGGCGCCGGTCAGCCCCGAGATGAGCCCCAACGACCGCCGTGACACGAAGGGGATGATGCCGTACGTGGCGCCGCACGCCGCCTGAGCTCCGAGGGAGAAGAGGATCATGGAGACGACGGCGACGGGAAGGGTATTGGCTCGGCCCAACCACATGCAGAACAGTCCGCCGAGGGTTTGGACGATCCACAGCACCCATAGCCTCCCCCTCATGCCGAACTTCTTCGCCGCCATGTCGGAGGCGTAGCCACCTAACGGGCGGGAGAAGAAGTTGGCCATGCCAAACGACGCCGCTATTATCCCTGCGGTCTGAAGCTTCAGATCAAACCTGTCGAAGAAGTACTCTGTGATCATGTTGTTTATGCAAAGCTCAACTCCCATTGAGAAGCCATAGAGAAAGAAGAAAACCCATGTTCTGTAATTTTTCACAGCGTTCGAGAACACCTAAAACCGGCCAAAAGAACAAATTAGTTAGTTAGCTGAGTTTAATGTTCATTTGCAAGAGAATGATTAATAATGTCTTTGGTACATAATTTGGCAATTCAATGCAAGAAGGAAATTTCTTCCTTCAAATCACCTTATAATGATTTGTTGAGATAGCTAGTAATCTACTCATTAATTTGAAGTAATTATGCATGTGCTATTCCATCATAGGGTGAACCTTATATCTTTATGATTTTTAATTATAGAGAATTAAATTAAAAATTTATTAGTGGCTGGAATTTGCCTTATAAGTTAAATAGTTCATTAAATAAAAAAGGGTAAGTCTAATCTTCTGTAAGATTATATCAGATTGTCTCACAGATCCTTATTCCACAAGTCAGGTCAATATTAAAATGTAATACTTATGCTGTAATATTAATTAGGAATAAATTGTTTGTTATGGAGTACTAAGAAAAAATTTATATAATATTTTTGAAGAAAAAATGTAATATTTTAGGAGTTGAATAGTTATTTAAGAGGAAAAAATGTAATACTAATAAATGATAACTTGATGGATTGTTACTCGAAAGTGTAATATTTATAAGGAAAAAATGTAACCTTTTTTTTATATGAGAAATGTAATATTAAAAGTTAAAGATCAGAGTTACTATAAAAGAATTGTAATACTTATGAGGAAAAGTATAATATATTTATATAAAAGATTGAATAGTTAATCACCTTATGGAATAGTGCACAAATGACTTGTTGAGATAGTTAGATATCTTTCTGATTTTTAATTATAGAACATTAAAAAACTTATTAGTGACTGAAATTTGCGTTATAAGTTAAATAGTTCATTAAGTATTTAAGTTATATTAGATTGATCTGCTGTAAGATCATATTAGATTGATCCGTATTCCACAGGTCATGTCAATATGAACAAATTAAACTAACCTTAGAAAAATTGTCTTTGACAACGTCACCCTTCTTTTGCAAGGCACTAAGGTTACCATCGGGTAAGTCCTGGCCAAGGGTTAAGACCATGACTCCGGTGATAATATGGAGCCATCCGGGGATAAAGAAGGCGATACGCCACGCCGTGAACGGTGTTGCTCCCGCGAGTATAATCAATTGGAAAAGGAAAGGCATGAGGAGCTGAGTAGCACCGCCGCCCATGTCGCCCCACCC